TCGGAGCCTCAGTAAAACTGACTTACATCCCACAGGCCTGCAGGGTCTGAGGTTTGACCTGGGTCGAGAGGGATTCTGTGTTCCGACGCGCCAGCCCTGAGATCTGGCGATGGGTAAGGCGCCAGCTGAAGTGGAGGCACCTGGATTGAAAGTATGTCAGGGGACAGTTGCCTAGGGAAAATATGGAAAGTTGCCAAAGAAAGATAAATAGATGCTGGACCGAAATTACAATCACCGCTTCTTTCCATTGCTTTTGGGCCCCCCATTTATGCTCTTTCATCTGACAGGGTTGTTAGGCATGACTGGCTCGTGATCATTGCTCCAATTTTATCTTAAATGTTTTCTCTTAAAACAGACCGATTTTGATCATTTAGTAAGTAGCCGCTTTCTCCACTCTCGATTACAACACTTCTTTAACCTTCCTAGCCTTTAGTAACTGACATGAGATTGATTTCCTGAACAAATATTTATTTAGCACAAAATTGTGCCAGACAGTACACTAGACCTTGTTTATTCTTTCATATCACATTATGTCTGTTTTATTTCCCAAGCATAATTCAAAGCCCGGAACATAGTAAGTCCTAAATATTCACAAATGAATGAATGGAATGGCCTTGATACTTACTTGTTTTGTCCAGTCCACATGTTCATAAGATAGTTCAATAAGATATTTTGCTGTGTTTTGGGGGAGAAAAGAGGAATATATTATTCTGTTAAGACAAGTCCATCTCAGTTTTTTATCATTGTTTGATCCCTTAATTTTTTGGGGGCACACACATGTACTCCAATTTAGGTGGTAAAAAGAAGCTTATTTTATAAAATCGCATAAAAATTAAACATAGTATTTATAAAATTAGTAGTATAAGTCCACGATACATTACTGGAAACTCTGGGGACCAGGTCTATTTTAGTATTCAATTGTATTCAGAGTTTATAAATGTAATGAATGTTAGTTATGTTCCTTATATTATATAACATATTTGGTAGGACAAGTGCAATACCTGGTAACAAAATGTTAAAAGTTCCATGGCAAAACATTATACCAAGAAGGATTAAGAAAGACAAAACAAGCATCCTCATTTTTGTTTAGGTCAGGTTCTATCATTAATGGATTTTTTATGATCTTATAAAAAAATGAAGATCTTTGGATGTGGGAATTGCAGATAAGGGATTGTGACTTGTAATCATATATACTTTTCTACAAGAATTCAATGCACTATTTTCCAAAAATTAGCTTACCTACCTTGGTTATTACTGGGTTGGTCAAAAAGTTTGTTTAGTTTTTTTCCATAAAAGACACATTTTTCATTTTCACCAATAACTGTATTGATCTGGGTGTTTTGAGTATGTTGGCCATCTCCCCTATTGGCTTCTAGTGGGTAGAGGTTTGGGGCGCTGCTAAATCCTTCCAATGCATAAGACAGTCCCAAAGTAAAGGATTATTTGGCCAAAACAGCAATAGTACAAGAAACTTCACAAACCACTTTTGACACGTTCGATCAGTCACAGCACCTTCTCCATACAGTGCACAAAAATCTTTTTGTTTCAGTTGTGTTTTTATCTTTCATGAAATAATAAAGCATAATATGCTGAAAATGTTGCATATTTTCATTCACCTTCAATATTAAAATGGCTGCACAAAAATTCACCAATTTTGATGTTTTTAAAGAAATTCACACTAACAGCTGTCACAATACAATTTAACAAAATTGTTACAAGTAAAGTTAAAGACAACTAAGCACTACTGGAGCCATCATATGGAAAAAGACAAATGAATTTTTTGGACAACCCAATGTATCTAGGCAGTTTCTTTGTTGTTGTTACTACTTTTATTTCCACTGAATTAAAAATTCTAATTCACATTTTAGGTCATTGGGAATGACAGAAATGCTCATTTACATAATTACATTTTTCATTGTTATATACAAGGTGGGGCAAAAGTATGTTTATGGTTGTAGGTGAGTTTATTCTTATATTATTATTTATACTTATTGTATCATTTTCCATACAGACAACTGTGAACCTACTTTTGCCCCACCCTGTACAGCTGTTAGTCCATAAGCACTTACCACGTGTTTTGTCCAGGCCACATGTTCATGTTTACACTATTTCCTCTTCCTGAGTACACAGGAGGATTACGTTTCACAGCATCCATAGCAATTATGTTTGGGGAACATGACATTACCAGACAATGGAGCATAGAAGAAAGTGACAGAAGACATTATGAAGCCCAGCTCTCCAAAACATTCCACATGACCCCTTGGCTCTCATTTTGTTTTCCATAGACACCTTGGATGTCGCATGTTCCAGATCAGATAGCACACAAGAGGAAGACTGGCCTAATTGTACTGAGCTATAAGTGACAAGTAAGTTGTCAACTGTGTCACGCCACTGTGAACTTGGGGGTTTATGCAGCACAGCAATGCAGCTCTCAAACAATTTTTACCAAAATGAAAAATCAACCCTCTCATGGTGTGAGTTTACAGTGAGAGAGCAAAAAAACTCATCAAGCAATTCTTCCTTATATATTAATCTCATGTATATTACAAGTTGACTTCCTCCCACTGCAAGGTGAAATGTCAACTAAGAAGGAGTAGTGATACAGTAATTGCTTTTTAACATTGTACGTCAATGATAACTATGCCAAATCCAGCCCTGTCCCTTTATCAAGAGCTTTTGCTAAGAGCTTATGCAGCTTCTTTTCTGAATTTCTCACCTCAAGTCTCCATAGCACCCCCAGCTTGTCGGCCCGGGGTTTCCTCCGGAGCACCAGGATCTTGCTCAACCTGCTCATAACCAAAGCCCACAGTGCAGGGGAGTTAATGCTCTTTTCTCCCGCCAGTGTGCATTTACAGATGTGAACTTGCTCAAAGAGAAGTCACAGCTTCTTAGGTCACAGCTTCTTAGGTCACTACACCTTGGAGGAAAACGTCATGAACTTTTCAGGGATACTTTAAATCTAGATCTGAGTTTTCTTGTATTCCAAAAAGTACAGAAAACCATTGCAGTTGGGTTTTTTTAGGGCAATGCCTTATTGTGGCCACCTGAAGAAAGGTATTCTAATTTACATTCACCATTGAGACCCCGAACTCACCATGTACTCATTTGTCCACTATGAGGATATTTAGTTGGGATGGAAACCCTCTGCATGTGGCAGGACCCTCCCACTCTTTTTTGACCCATAAAGTGAGGACCCTTAGAGTAGCAACAACCAATGGGAAACTATTTGGACTCCTATCAAAATATAAAGTCAGCCTTGGATGGTGTGGCTCACTGGACTGAGCTCTGGTCTGCAGACCAAAAGGTTGTCAGTTTGATTTCCAGTCAGGGCACATGCCTGGGTTGCAGGCCAGGTCCCCAGTTGGGGGGGTGTGGGAGGCAACCAATCGATGTATTTCTCACACATTGTTTCTCTTCCTCTCTTTCTCCCTCCATTTAAAAATAAGTAAATCTTAAAAAGAATATATAAAGTCAGAGGCAACATCGCTTTTTCAGAGGAAATTGCAGAGATTAAGACACTTGTCAAAGATTTGTGAGATGCCGGCCAATGACCCTTCTTATCCCATTTAATTCCTCACTAGGGTCAGAGGGAAAACTGATGCTAACTCCAAGTACATCTTCTAATCCCTGCAGTGGCCTTTTTCCTAGAACAGATGAATCAAGTTCCTGATCCCCGATCTGCAGTTCCTGATTTATGGATCGTGTATCACTTTACGCTCCTGCTCACTTGGACTACCAGATCGGTACCACTGGCCAGAGCAACAGTTCATGAATTCTCTGCGGCTGTGGTATACAACCCAGTCGTCTGGAGTCTTGGCGACCCATCCTTCCTCCTAGGACATGAACCTGACCCTATATGTTTACAACTTTAAGATAGATGGTCATCCCTGAAGAAGAGCAAGTAGCATTGTCCTAGTTGTCTTGGGAAGGAGTAAGAACAGAAGATAAACGTTTAGGAAATCCAATAACCTATATCCTCTGTTACGCCCCAGGAAGGAGTGAAGTGTGGTCAGGGTTTCCAATGTCAGGGATGAAGGGTTCCCTCTAGGCAGAGGACACCTAGCTACATACGATACTAACAGGGCATCTCTATGGATTTTGCAATCAGATTTAGGTAGCATTTGTGTGTCCTCTGGCCAATTAGCAGGCAATACAGAAGCCGCCCCAGAGTAGAGTAAGGAAAGGTTTTGTGGCTGGGCTGGCCTGCGTGTCGCAGCCCCATTGGATGGCCTGATGGCCACGTCGATCCAGGCTGCAGGAAGCAGACCGACGTAGTGTGAGGGAACTCTGCTAAGCACTGGAAACAGTGTTATCAAAGGGGATCCTGGGGTTTTTGGAGCTTATTCATGTCTCCATCACCAGGTAACTGTTCCCTTTTTGAGTAATAGTTCCTGGCTTGCTTCTAAAATGAGTATCTGATTATAGAGTCAGGTAATTATGGTGCCTCAGCTGCCCTTCACGAACTGGGCGTCATCAAATCTACAATCCGTAAAACCATGTTTACCCTACAAAATACTCCAAGAAGTGGTATGTAAAACAACAGGCTTTATAAGCTACAAGGATAAAAGTATTATTTAAATGTATTATTTAAAAAAAAGTATTATTTAAAAAAGTATTATTTAAATTATTTAAAAGAGACAAATGTATTTAAAAAGTAAATAAATAAAAAAAATAAAGAAAAAAAAGTATTATTTAAATGGGTTGCTCACTTAGCTCTGGCCAGTAGCTCACTTAGCTCTGGCCAGTAGCTCAGTTGCTTAGAGAATTGTCCCCATACGCCAAGCTTGTGGGTTTGATCCCTGGTCAGGGTACATACAGGAAACAACCAGGGAATGAATAATTGGAACAAGATAATGTTTCTCTCACTCCTTTTTTCTCTCACCTACTTCCTCTCTCTCTCTCAAATCAATTAAAAAAAATTCAATGGGTTGCTCACTTAGAATACAGAGCATGGACATTTTATATATTTATTGGAAATGCTTAATAAAATCTCATTGAATGAAGAATGACCACATGAACCTGTTCCTTAGCAACAAAAGCTTCCCACTATATAGGAGGCAATCGAACACTTCTTGAAGTAAATTTCACCAGACGTTAGGCTTCATTAATAATATTTATTTTAAAGATCACTTTTTATTGTAACAAATATATAGTCATCAATGTTTTACAAATTGTCAAAAATGCTTTAAGTACAAAAGAAATACATTAGTAAAATGAAAGTTATATTGTATTATTTGGTACATACTTAATACTGTCGACATGCACAACACACGCCAGAAAAGCTCATGCATTATTGGAAGAGAGAAGAAATAAGCTATAACGGCTATATTGTCGCATTACAAATTCATTGCTTCCGTCAGTTTTCTTTCTTCAGGGATACCATTTACCTGCAATGTGTAAGAACGAATACGGGCATGCGTCAGTCAGGGATGGTCACCTGAAGATTTTGAGTAAAACATATTATGACAAGGAGTGATTTTCTATCATCTTCACATAACTTAAAATATTTTCTCTGCATTTGGCTTAAATTTTTTGCAAAAGAAAAAAGTCTAAATTAGTCCTTTCCTGCTTGGGCCAAAGCTGCAATGTTCCATGTTTGTCAAAAGGCACGGCTTGAAAATTCCTCCCACAATAAACAAAAAGAATGTGGTTGACTGTGGGGTATATGACTGTACCTTTGAATGGTGGCTTTTTAGAAAATGTCACATGGGTCGGAAGTGCTGACAAAATGAGAAAACCAGGAGAGGCATCGATCCTAATGGCCTGGGCCTGGGCCAAGAGGGAGCACTATTGTCGGCCTCTAACTGCTCTGTTACGCCAGCTCGCGCTTACGTCCCAGGGCCAGGGCACCACGGCCGGCTCACTTCTTAAAGTTTGGATGATCATTTAAAAGAAAACAACTAAAGAAAGCAAACTTCAGAATATGCTCTCCCCTAACAAGCTCCATAGAGGCAGCTACAAATAAAATTACTTGGTATCCAAGAGAGACCTTGTGCTTAAATTACCTTCACAAAGAAAACTGTAGAGTGTTATTCACTACCGTCACCCCATTACATTTAATAAAAAAGACAAGAAAACTGTGACACTTAGCATAGTCCTCTGAGGTGCTTGGGAAAATCAAATTATTATTTCCTGATACTCATGCACAAATCTGTTGCCTCTTTGTGGTACTACAGTAACGAGGGTGGAGGGACAGAAGAGGTGCTGTACCCATGCATGTGCAGACAGAAGAGAACACCTTAGAAACGGAGAAACAAACTTTATTCTTTCATTCAGATGAATAGATGGAAATAAAGAAGGTAGCCTGCCCATTTAGCTCCTCTCTCCAGGAGACATGAGTCTATTTGATTTTACATTTATCTGAGGCAGAAACACAACAATTTGTCACACATATTTAAAATGCCAGTTGGTTTCTCTCTCTCTCTCTCTCTCTCTCTCTCTCTCAGCACTGAGATACCTTGAAGACTCACCAAAAACAAGATGAAGAAAGAAACCAACCATGAGAAAATAGTACACTTTAGTCAATAATATGCTCCAAATTACAGAAAAAATATAAGAAAAGAACAAGGTAATAGGCGATAGTGTTAACTAAAAAGGAGATCAAAGCTTTCTTGGCTCAAGCAAAATGGCTGTTCCCCAAAACCTGACTTAGAAAAAATAATTTTTAAAATAGCTTGAACAACCTAAAATCCCCTGAGGGAAATTCTTTGCCTCTTATCACATTTGCATAGGCATAAACTGGTCTTGTATTTGGAAATGCTGCCTATTACTAAAATGAAGCATGTCAATGAGTCTACTTGCTAAATATCTATATAACTATCTAGTAAATCTCCCTAATAGCATTCCCAATGGGGAAATAAATAAAATCTGGATTTTTTAAATATTCAAAAAGTATTTCTATTTTACTAGTCATTGTCTCCCTTCTACTAAGTCCTTGCCTGAAATAATTAGGAATCAGAGGAAAGACACCTCAGGGGAGACGGAAGTCTATGAGGTCAAAGAAGAAGTTTTAGCATTTCCATTGCAGACATATGCTTAAAATTTTTTTCCTCTTTAAAAAAAAAAAAAAAGCCACAACACAATTACATGTAGTGGGGATTCATTTATTTCTTCGCTCTTTATATAACATATTTATAGCAAAGTTTGTTCCTTCATTAATCTCCTGAATGCTTACATCAATATATTGAACAGTCTTGTTGAAACATGTTAGCATTTAATTAAAACAAGTAATCAAAATTATGGGGGAAAATTCTGATAAATGTTATTTTATAATTAAAATATGATGAACAACTTCATTATACTTGCCTCAAATCTTTGAAAAGTTGTCAAACGAAAATCTCCTTAAATTCCCGAAAGCAGTAATAGAGAGGATAATATTTGAATGAAAAATATTCAGTACATTTCTATATGTGCCTAAAGTTTTAAAGAGATGTACTTAATAGCTTCCTTACCACAATACCACTATTCATAGTCAGAATTCCACATCCAACTTACATTTTTAAAACTTCTCTTGCTTTTCCAAAAGAGCTAAAAAGGCATTACTGGTTGCCTGGCAATTAGAACTAAGAATCAACCACTAATTAGAAGACAATCATGAATAAGTTATCTACTCAGTACCGAGATGAATGAAATAATTGGCTGTGGAAATTTTTTAGGGACACTTGAAAGAAATAAACTTAAAGAAAGCAAGTCTTAGGGAAATAGAATAGTCCAGGGAGAAATGCCCACCATCTTGCTCTCCTTGGTCATGTTATAGCAGCTTTTAAAAGTGGCATTAGAACAGGCGAACCATTTCTCATTTATCCCCCTGAAGCCTCAGTGATTAGTCACAATAGTTTCCTTTTGTAAGAGTCAGTTTCAAGCTGCTCACTTACTGAGACAAATCCTGGATGCATCTAAGCTAAGAATCTTTCATACCAAGGGGAAGAATAGGCAGCTTTGCTGAAGGAAGGGGATTTTATTCAGTCTTCCTAATTAGACAGGACCTCCGTGGGTGTTTCTGCTCTAAGATCATTGACCCTGTGTTTATCACTTTGATGGCAATCAATGCAATAATCCATTATTCTCAAGTTCTAACTCTAAGATAATTGTTTTTGCCTTACTTGATAAAGCTAAAGCCTTATAAATTATACAGTACTATAATTGTCTTTTAATCTATTAACTTCATTCATAAACATCAACTTATTAGTACATCAATTTATTTAGTACTCACCCGTAGTCTGCTGTTGGGGAATCTGAGTCTGATGTGGCAAATTCCTAGAAATGATTAACATTTTTTTAGTAAAATTGTGTTTGCTTACATACATGTAAATGAAGAGCAGACACATTAGAATGAAAAACTTTATAGCTAGAAAGGACCCCCTAAATCATCTAATGCAGCATCCCCGCCCCCGCCATGAGTTTATAGATGAGGAAACTGAAGTCTGATGAAGATAAATAAGAATATTGTTAACAGTCATGGAGTTGCTACCACATGCTATAGTCTATCTCACAACAAACCTTAGGAGATAGGTATTATTTCTCCCAGCGTAAAGATGGAAAAACAGGCTTAGAGGTCCAAGGCTACATAGCTAGGGAGTGACTGATAAGGATGTGAACCCAGAGCTCTGGGGCTTGGGTCTGTAACCTGCACGCTTTCAGATCCAAGTCTAGAACACATTTATACACTTACACACTCTCAAAACGGCAAGTATAACCCTCTTCATTCACGATGTCCCACCTGTGCTCCTCTGGCCCCACCGTAGGAAATGACAGCTGCCACCCACCCAACTGCGCTAGTCTTCTAGTGCACACGAGACTTCTCCGGCCCTTCCCTCTCCTTCACGCCTCACATCTAATCCCTTGGGTACTCTTGACTGTTCTCAAGCTTTTTGAATCTGTCCCCTTCTTTCCCATCTCTGTTGCTCACTTGGTCGAAGCGATCCTCCTTTCTCATGTGCATCTTTGCAACTGATCTGAATTGCTTCCTCATTCCCACTCTTGCTGCCTAACAATCCACTGTGCATACTCCTGTCAGGTGATCTTCTGTGACACAAATCTGATTATGTCATTCACATAACACACATTTCATTGTTTCCTTATACCTACCCGCCAACCGCGTTCTCAGGTGTTTAGTGTGCCCCCAGAAGGCCACCAATATATCTGGTCCCTGCAGGGACGCCTCCCTGACTGCGGAAGCGGAACTGCCACCGCCATGGCCCCCACTGCCATTCCTTGCACCTGACCTGCTCCCATTTGTCCTTGCAAATTCAACTCAAAATTTGTTACAGCGAACACATATTAATCTTAGAATTTAAAAAATAACCCACAGGAATGTTAACTAAATTTTACTATTTTTAATTAAAAAATAACCTCTCCAATACCACCTCTTCTATGCCTCCTTATTCTTGAAGCACCGCCCCAATAGGTCACCAGTGAGCATGCGTTCCACGCTCTCACTGTGCTTCCTCGCATGTCTCATTGACCCAAAGTGCCTCAACAGTCCGAATCATCCTGTTTTGTTTAGGACCCTCAGCAATAAGCATGAAGTAAATACTGTTGGGATGAATACACACAAAAGTGCAGATACTTACAGAGATTAACATGATACATGTGTTTAGTAACACTCACATAACATTCAGTTTCAAATTTGATATTAAAATTCCTTTACCAAAATGTACAATTTACATTTTGTGTGGAAGAAATTCTAGGAGTTAGCCCCTTGCTACAGAGCAGGGTTTGTTCCAAGCCACGGATTTTTGAAGTTTTTTTGTTTCTCTTCAGCAATGGAATTCCTTTTAATTGAAATCCTAAGCAGAACTCCACGTACAAAAGAGATAAATGTGAGGCTGCCCCAGTTGAGACAAGGAAGCCGAGAGTCCCTCCTGCTTTGTTTCCTATGCCTCGAAAGCTGGCCCCTAACGCATTTCTAAGGAATCTCCAAGAAGCAGAGTTAGAAAACCATTGATCTAAAATCACTTCAGCCAGGCAAATATATGTTTCGAATACAACAATCCAAAGTGGCAAACAATACATGCTAGTTAAATACTGTTTAAACTCGTAAATTAATCTATAGAAATGTTAATGACTTTGAGTGATTTTTAAAAAATTTTTTCAGTTCCATTTTAATATATTGTTAAGGAAATAAAATCAATTCTAATTCAATACAAGGAAGTTACTTAGTAATTCATGTCAATAATTACATTCCTTTTTGCTATTACCTATCAGCCCTATTTATTCTTGTGTGGTCTCAGGGGATGGTTTTCTTTTTTCTTTTCATTTTTTTATTCCTTCCATTTCACACTAAGTATTTATAGTGGTTTCGATGATGAAAGTAAAAAAGATTTATTGATAAACCACAAGAGGAAATAAGTTCTAGATTTAAAGATGGGAAAACATACATCTTTACTACAAAAGTAGAAATGACATTTCATGGGCATTTGCGGGGTGGGGGTCAGAAATATGAGTTTTGTTTTTACTTCTCAGGTAAAACTAACCTGCATCTTTTCTACAATAGAAACTAACACAGCACCTCCTACCGCCACACACACCCACTCCTCATGTCCTACCAGCGCCAGCTCTTCCTGGCCTATTAATGGATTAAATCAATTTATTTTGACAAAATAAAAATAACAAAGAGGACAAAGAAAGCCCTTCAAAAGCCATAGGTCAAGGATACCAAAATTCAAAATAGATATTTAAATGAAGTCATTGGAACCCCTTCTCCCATTGGTCGGCCCAACTTACCCTTCTATAGAACACAATTTGAAAGACACTGATCAAAATCTACCTACGCCCAGTCATTTCTTCTCCGGCCTCTATTGTTTCCTCTTCTGTTACACTGCTAACCTTTCTACGTAGCAATGGACTTGGCTAGGTTTGAAGAGAAATGGTTGGTTGTGAAAGCACAGGAGCTAGCAAGCAATCTAGAGAAGATATATGAGAAAGCAACTGTGTGTATTACATGGGTTTGAGGATTTAGAAATTTCTGCAGTGCGTGTCCCAAATGGTTACGTGTGAGTAATATAAATGGACTCCTTGCAAGTTCAACTTCAACTGAAAGTGCTTATGTGGGCACAAAGGTGCGCAATAAAAAAAAATTTAGAGATTCCACTTCCCCAGAGTCTCCAAGGTACGCACACAGAGCCCTGTCTTTGTGGTTGCCCACACTGGGGACTACACGTGAACCCGTGAGTGTTAGGTGTTAATATACGTATGACGGGCATATTCAAAGTGGGTATTCCATTTAAGAGTTGAAGAGAGGCACCCCGTAAGAGCACTGCTTCAGGCATACTGGGAAAATGTCCACGACAAACTCTGCTCTAGTGAAGAAGCAGAGAACTCAGTAAGAAAATGGAACCCTGTCCATCTTTGGTGAAAGCAGGCTGCTAAAGGCAATTAATTATACAGGATAGTGGGGGTTGACTTCAAAGAGAATTCCAATAATCCTTCAAAGAAAGGACCTTTATAAAGTCATAAAACTATTTAGAACAATTAAGTTATTAGCAAACTAACTGAACGATTATTATGTATAAACTGCACTGCATAGAAAAAAGACTTAAGAAAACTGTAATTCTCTAAATTATTAGCATTAATTATTTTCTAATTTTAGTCCCATTAATTACATGCATTTAAATAGAAAATTATGTAAATTGGCCATTGCACAAACTTAATTCTTTATGAAGGCAAAGGTAATAACTTGCAAATTAATAAATAAATGATTTTGGGGGAGTATGCAATTACTTATTATTTGTACAACCGTTTTAAGGTAATTTGATATTCTTGGATATCCTGTAGAGTAAACCTATAAGTGAGGTTGATGATTATCCACCTATTACATTCCTAGTTGCTTGAAGACTCAAAAGCAAAGAAAGGTTAAGTGATTTGTATAAATCCATATAATCTGTGCCAGAGTTAAAACTACATGACAGTTTAGTTATATGGAATACAAAAATACAAAACACTTCTCTTTTGAATTAGCATGGAGTCATTTAACAATAAGACATAGTAATATATTTTTGAAGTTTCCCAATTATTTCAGCGAAATTGACATTGCCCAAACCTTGCTGATTTGAAGGCTCTCACTCTACTAAGGGACAAGGCCATTGTGTGGATTAAAGCAGGAGGACACAAAGAAACTGGATCTGCGTAATTTTAACTTCAAAACCTAATTTTAACTAACATCAATGCATAAAGGAGAAAGGAGACACTCATTTCCTTCTTTTAATTTTTCCCCTGCTTAAAGCAAGCCACAGGCAAGCCTACCACAGCTTTAAAATGATACAGTGCAAACCTATAGAAACAAAGCCCATCAAAGAGACACAGCACTCAGTGCTTTCAGTGTATACTTATTGAATTAAAAGAAAGGTAATGGCTCCAAAATATTCTTGGCTGGTTAACACTTCTTGTCAACAGGAAATCATTTCCTTGGTCCTAAGAAACATTCTCTTCAATTGATATTAACTTTTAGTGAAACCTAATTTTTTACTTACGGAATTTTATCATAAAGTTAGTTCTTAATATTACCAAAGGGAATAATGGAAAAATACTTCAGATAAAAGCTAAAATGATTAGTTACCAAGTATCTTTAATTAGAAGATTTAATTCTACTTTTATACTTGTTAATTTGCAAAAGATTAAGCACAACCTACCTCCTGTTATGAGGGAGACCCAATTACCCTGGATTAGGTATTATGTTTTGTATAATGAATAAGGAAAATTTTTGTATAGCCAATTAAAATCTTTCTAGAAAATGTTTAGGCACTTCCCCCTATTATGCATTACATTCAATCCTGTATGAAAATGCCTCCCACTCAGGAAAAGCTTATTGATATTGATGTTGGTATAAGAAAAGAATAACGAGGGGGCAGATCTACCCCCTAAAAGACCAAGTGCCCTGGCTGGTGTGGCTCAGTGGCACCAACCTGGGAACTGAAAGGTCACCAGTTCGATTCCTGGTTAGGGTACATACCTGGGTTGCGGGCCAGGTCCCAGTGAGTGTGAATAACATCTGCTTCCCCACCTCCAGCCACACAGCAGAAATACCAGAAGTACGAATTTGGCTTATGATTCCCCAAACCTAGGTCCTTTAAGTATTTAAATCAGGAATTCTCAACCTCCCCCCCACACCCCCCACCATAACACAGGGCCACCAGATTCCAAATCCCGAGAAGGAGGGCCCAGAGATCTGCACTAACCAGTAAGAGGCCCACAGGTGAGGGTGATCTTCACCTTGGTTTGGGACAACCAGGCTAGATCATCTCTCAACATTCCTTTTAGGACCTAAAAGCCTATGACTTAGAATTTGATTCTCTTAATTTAAATCACTACAAAGCTTTGTCTTTCAGGTACATCAGTCAAATCTGTAATATATTTTTGATGTTAAATCTTTGGCCAAGAACCTAACTCCTAATCACAACAATGATTTTTGGGGGACAAAGCAAAATTTACTTTTTTAGGAACTGCTTTATAATGTGATATCCAATAATGAATTATAACAAATAAGGGACTGTTTAGAAGAAAAGATTCTTTTGACTCTTAATGGTAACATTTATTTGCTGAACTACAAAGATCACCAAGTATACTTGTAGACGCAGAAACCTGGGCATACTAGGAGCTGGGGGACATTCTACAGAATCTGTGGCTGGTGCTCCCCAAGACTCTGGAGGCCAATGGAAACAAGGAAGGTGTAAGACACTGTGCAGACCAGAGAAGACTAAGACATGCCAATTATTGGGACCTAGACCAACTCCTGGAACAGCAAGAAGACATTAGGGGAAAAACTAGTGAAATCTGGGGAAAAAAGTCTGAAATCTGGCTCATAGTAAAGCACCAGGGTTGGTCTCTTATTGTAACAAATATAATAAAATACTGGAATTCTGTATTACTTTTGCAACTTTTCTGTATCTCAAAAATCATTCCAAAATAATAAGTTTATTAAATAATAACTACATTAGCAAAGATAAAATCCAATTTACCTTCCGTGCGCTAGTTTAACAGGCTGTTGGTCCTGTCTCTGTAACCCGAGATGCAGAGGATCACTGCACGAATGAAATCCCTCCTTTCTGAACATATGTTCCATCACCAGTTTCTTTGCACTGTCTATTTAGTCACCTTGCCCGCAATCTGGATCAGAGAACCTTCTGACCTTTTGAGGTCAATGACCACATATTTATCCCTGACTCGACCAAGATAGGTAAATAATCTAATCTCAGTTTGGACCCAGTTTAGCTTTGTCTCTTATCTGTGGCTCAATTTTATCATCTGCAAATAATGAAACATTTGTTGCTTCTAATTTATGGTGCCAATCTGGAGTCCCATGAAGCATTCTACCAAAAAAAAAAAACACCCAAAACCAAAACCCCAAAAAACAATAAACAAAAACCAAAAACAATAAAACAATTATATAACTGAGAAGTAACTGTGACAGCCCCTTATTATACAACCGTTGTAAGTTCTCTATACCTAACACTGTTAAGAGATTCTCTATACCTCATGGTTTAACTTGTTTAAAAGACCCAGGTATGTTTCTACGCAGCTTTGAATGTTCATCTTCTTGAGTCTTGCCTAGAAGCCAACATAAACTTTCAGCCATGTCCTTATGCTTGAATATTTCTGGTATCAAGTTAGAAGAATAAACACAAAATGCAGTAGCTAGCCAAATTATTTATGAGTGATAACTTCAGCACAGTTGGTCAGAATAGGTGACGATGAAATGCAAGCCCTTTTAGGAAGAGTTAATTAGTAAGTACCAGGTAGCATTATCCCAGCATATACCCAACTATCAGGTACTGTAATGTCTCATCAAATATTTCATTTTAAAGTTAAGAATTCAGTTCAATTTGAATGACCAAAATATTTCTATAAGTGTGTACTCGGTACTGAAATAGAACTTCAAGGACAGGACTACATTTTTTAAGGCAAGGAGTAAAAGCTGAATTTGCGGAAAGGGCAGCTGGTACAATAAATCTATCATCGGGCAAGGTTGGAAAATGAGGTGAATCACATAGTCTAGCTTATAGAGAGTTACCATAGAGACTGTGCACATTCTATCCATTTCCAAGAATAAAAGAGAGATAACATACACTCAACACTGAAACTACACCGAATGTAATTTAATTTTCCTCTGATGAGTGAGATGCACTTGATGATCTAGCAAGGCTTCAGAATAATCATTGTGAACATCATCAATTATCTATGTACCCCATTTATATAGAAGTACTAGTTAATGGAGTTTTTCCATTAGCAGAAATCTAAATAATACGAAGGTTTTCTGGATGTAAAAATTTCAGTAAAATAACCTATTGCATTAACAAATAGAGAGACCTGATCAACATAATGACAGTCTTCATGGGGTTATGGAAGGACCTGGAAGATGCATTTGGTTGTAAATTAGATAGAAAATTTTATTGTGCTTGTATATAAGTAGCAACATTGCAAAATCCTACACAGAAGAAATCAAAATAATTTTTTAGGAGCTATTCTTACGTTCAATAGATAGGGTTAGAAAGGCTATATAAATGTTGTACAACTTTTTCCCTCCCTTAACCTTTACAAGCAACAGAATTTTACTGATTTACAAACATATTCCTCTACTCATAACAAATAGATCTCTATTCTAAAATTTTATAATATTGTTATATTGTCAATAGAAGCATTTCTCAAAATGTCTTCTTTAAAGTTATATCTTCTGACCTTTCCCCAGGGGTTCACAAAGCATATCAACACACGAAAGGCTCTGAAAACTCTTCTGATTAAAAAAACCTAAAAATAAGCCTATCTCAAGTGTATTTTACCATTGTACTTTTGAAAATACATATCAGCATTTGAAGAATATATATCAACATTTCACTCGCATTTTTTAGGTAAATAATATAAGAAATAATATAAAGAATCTTTATTTTTCACTGGCATTTTTAGGTAAATAATATAAGAAATGATATAAAGAATTCTTTAACTCTTTTCATTTTGTAAAATGACAAGGCTGTTCATAATTTTCATCTAAAAATGGCAGGAGAGATAGTTAAATTGTGAACTAATACAATGTTATTGAAATGCAACTAATCCTTCTCATTGGTATCTAATCCTGGTAAAGTGGGTTTTAGGAGGTATCACTAACCATCAGAGAACATAGAAATCCATCCCCTCCACTCAGTACCACTCAACTTTGCAAGACTCTAATATTTACTTCCTTCAGAGTATATTAATATTTCCAAAACTTTTCCCCACTATTGACAGGACTTGAATCAATTACTCGCACGCACAGGCACATACACACCTTGGCCTACACTAAGTAAATAATGTTATAAGAACTCAAGAAAATTCTCACAATACTTTCAGATTTCCAAAGTGGTTTGGACAAGTTTATTGAGTCTGACTGTCTATTGTACTCACAGTAATTACTGTTTAATCTGCAAAGTATCACATGCATTTTATATGGTTACAAGCATCCCAGTTTGAAAATGTTTGCACCCAGTACTGTTCCCAGATAAATCTTTATTCAGTAAGAGGTTACTTTTATTTCATATCCTAAGGTTGATGTGTATGTTTGGGAAGGGAATTTTCCTTTTTATCCATTTTATTTACAAAAGTGAAAAAGAGAAGGATCTCAAAATCAAACTTGTGACATCCTTGGGAACATTGGATTTAACCCTTTTTAACAAATGGTTTTTAAAAAAAGCAAAAAAAGAGCCATTTTCTTAAAAACAAATGACAATTTCACCTACAATTCATTTACATCAAAATCAACTGAGGCATATAACATGGTGTCCTGAAGAGCAACTAGATAATTTCCGCAACCCCTCTCTCTCCCTCGTACCGACCTTTCCAGGCTTTCTAACCATAGTCCTAACACAAGAGAGAAGGTTTGTATGAATAAACTGTGTATATAGTCAAAATTAGGACTACTTGTTTTGATATATAAGCAGATCACAAAAAACAATTTATATTAAATCATTCTGTGGTAATAACATTAAAATAATAGGTTAACAGAACCAAATAATTCTAATAATAGCTCTAAAAATAATCAATTTGTCATGCTTTAGGAGATGCTTCTCTTTTCACAATTATCTCTGAGCAAACATATGTTAGTTTATTAGCTGTGTCAATTTCTTAAATATTAAGGTGGATTATTGTAGGAAAAAAATAAAAGCATCCCCTGAAAGTGATTCTATTAATTTGGGTCAGCACAGTGGGGCTGTGCTCTTCACTATCACTGTCCTTTTGGTATTTCCTCTTCTCTATAAACAAACAAACAAACAAACAACCAAGCAAGCAAGCAAGCAAACAAAAGCACCAATCATGAAAAGCTCTCTTCTTTATAGACACAAACTAGACACATTCACGCATATTAATAATCCCTGTTTCAAGGGGATACTTACTGCTGCGTTTGCATCAATGGCATATTGGTGCTCTCATAGTTGTCTGCGTGGAGAGGAGGTATGATTTCCCCTGTTACTGGGTGAAACACAGGAAGTGTTGACAGGGGCCAAGCTATCTCTCTATTCTTGGACATGTCACGAAGTTCTTTGGTAGATTTCTGAATAGCACTATGATGGACCAGTTGGATGCTAGGTCAAAAAGAAATAAAACAACATGTATTTAAAATCACATATTATCCCAGTGGGTCATCAATGTGAAAAATTTTTTGAAAAATATTTAATTTTTAAAATAGGAGGAGGTCATTATTGCACTTTGGGCTTTCTACAAGTTATCTCAGAAAAAAAATACATTTCATATAGTTTTAACAGAGCAAAACTGAAAAGTATAAACTATTTTTTAAGTAAATGTCTTCCATTAAACTAAGCTATAAAGCATTGTGTTAATATTACAGCCCTAAGTAACAAACTAGCATTCTACTTAATTTCTACGATTAAGATTAAACTACCAGAGCTTTTATATTGTTGCTTCTGATGGGGCATTTATAAATACTCACAGAAGTTTCATTTTATGGTAGGTTATTACTGTAGATTCAGGAAAGCGTGTATGAAAGGTCTTTTCATCTGTTCTCTGGTTTACAGAAATGCAGATTGGGAAATCACATAATATAAATGGCAAGTTAATATTCTGAATCTGAAATATTTTAGGTTTAGTTTTTATCTGTATAATCTTAGTTTTCAAACCCTCTTTTTATTTTTAATTTCTACCCCTCCTAAATATCTCTATTTAGAAAGCAGCTTTCACATTTATGAAATAAACTATGAAAGATGACAAATAAAAAAAAGCATGACACACATGTAGGAAGCATGATGAGCAACTGAGAAGTGGAAAAAAATGATAAAGAAAATAACAGGAAAGAAGACACTTACTCTGGTGTTTGCATGTTTCTCTTTTCCCTAGAAACAAAACAAAATTTATGAATTAAATAATAGCATTGATATTTGGAACATTAAGACTATATGCTCATGGAATCTTGCATGATGTGGAAATGCTGACATTGTTACTATTAAATGCCACCAGGCAGCATTTGCCACCAGGTTTATGACATTACTTGGATGAATACACATACAGAGATGGAATACTGATGAGAAACATACAGAAAAATGGGGAAACAAAAAGGAGATTAAGAATCAAGCTCTTGGAAATAAATTCTACGACATGATGAAATCAGGCTACATGTAAAAATGGAAGAATTTGTTACTTGCTGCTTTATTAACTTTTTATTCTTGGCTCTGTTACTCTGACTTCCAAATAATCTCGGGAGATTATTTTAATCGACATAGACGTTCTGAGAGCGCTAACTATTCATGAACTGAATACTTGCTCCTCAAATTATAGACTTATTTTCATTAATTTACTCCTAAGTTTATATGTGTGGGTATATATATTTAAACATTTAGATTGTCACCCTGTTTGACAGCAGAAGAGTTTCAAGAATTCTGACCATCACTCCTGATCAAACTGAGACTATTTAGTTAAAGTACAATGACCATGTCAATAGATTCCGAAGTCTCTGCTTACTCAAGGTGGCTTGTGTAACCAAAATATGCAGCCTTAATTATTGTTGGGCCTGTTTCTGCCAGCATGAATTTTCATCTAGCCTTAATAATTCTTGAATAAAGTAATTATATCCCCTAACTTGATTTATTAGGCTCCAAATTATTTTAATTCATTTTTTTAAAGGAATAAAGTACTGTGGTTTGACTTGAACACAATTTCAATTCATTTATAAAGTGTTTTATGAATTAAATGAAACTTAGCTTTTAATGGAATCTTATGCGTTGTTATCTTAGTAGGCTTTATAATTTTTTATTAGTGTTTTAAAGTACTCACACTCCTTCCCGTCGGCAGCACATGATATAAGCAAGTATTAGAAAAAGGACCAATGCTACTGCCGAGGGCACAGCCAGTGTAATTAGGAAATCCGTGTAATAGTCTCTGCTTTTCAAAGAATCGGAAGGGGGTTTGTACTCTCCACCATCAGGTAAAATCCCCTCTCCGCGAATCACTTCCTGATAGGTGGACACTTGCTTTGTTTTATCAACCTGATACAAAAGAAGACAATTACACATCAAATTAACAGCTGCAAACATGATGAGATTTTCAGATCTAGACATATCAAAACACTCGCTGACAAATTTCTAAAAAGCAATCTTTTCCCATTACTTTATCACCTTGAACTTGCAATTTTTGAGGGGAGCTAGGAAGAAGTAATGAATAAAAGTAATAAATGGAAAGCTTTCCATTGACCTGTTTCTATGTCTTCTCACCATACTCGCACATACATACATGCACATACACACACTATGTGTGTATGTAGTTGTCCAGTTTCTTTTCTCCAAAGCCGAAGTCCTTCACACTAGTATGTACATTTCTTATTGCCTAATGACAAACCTTTAGTGTGGATGTTAACAAACCATAAACTTGCTGATAACCAGGTATGTGGGTATGGTTTCCAAAGTTAGCAAAAGAGAAAAGAAAAAAAAGAAAAAAAAAGAGGCAATTTCTCAATGATTACAACCTTGATCTTTCTGGCATCCAGCTGACAGAAAGAGTTTATTTGAAAAGGTGGTCTAAGGGACATGTAATCCATGCAATGCTATCATTTTACTAAATTCTATCCCAGAATAAAAAAAAATGCATATTGGTACTATATTAATTTACCTCCAGAGTAACTGAACTGCTTTCACTGAGTTGCATTTAATTATGCTAAGGGTTTCTTTAAAGCCACAACAAAAATAGCCATATGAAATCTGTTACTACATTTGCCACTGCCCTCAAAAAAAGAAAAAAGTTGGGAGGAATTATTTGTGGCATTTCTCAGCATCTTCTCCAAAAAAACGCTACATGAAGAATTTTGTTAACAATACAATGCTAGTAAAAAATTTATTCTCTGCCAAAAAGTTCATGCTTTGCCTCCTTCCAGAATGGGAATTAAATAACTGATGAATTTCCTTTTTTAATATTGGACATTAGCAGGCTTGTTGTCAAACTTGACTTTGGCTTAATTAAAAAAAACAAAACAAACCTAGGTCCTGATTTTCTATTTCTTTTATATTTTATTTATTATATTTATTCATTGACTCTTTCACTCAAGTCTCCTGAAATCTTCTGTCGTAAAATGTAACATCTAAATAAATACATGTAAAAGAAACAATATGAATTTCCCACTTTTCTATTTGTAAAGCCTTACCGCAAAAATTAAAATCTTCAAAGCTTGTCATTTTTAAACCTTTAAAAAGTAGATGCTATTCCTAAATATGCACATCCCACAGCACAAGCACAAGGACCGTGGCCTTGTTAGGGCCCACTGTCTATTGATTCTGTTTAGAGGCATCTGCTCAAATTGTGAACGCGATCACTCAGTCTTTTGGACCCTTGTACAATTACCACCATGACTGAAATACTGAACTTTGAAAATTCAACATTTATCTAGAACACCTAAACCATGGCGTCTTAGTAATTTTACTTTATTTAAGAGGGCAAAGAAAGAGCATGACTTTCCTAAGACCCAAGTCTATAAAAAGAAGAGGCCAGGGCCAAGGGCCGCAGGTGCTAAGTGCTACAACGTGAGTAAGATGTTCTCCCCTACTGCATCCAGGAAAGTTGCCTGCAGTTGGTTCGCTAAGACATGAGGTGACAGTTGTGTTTATGTGTCAATAACTTTGTTCAAATGTCAACTTTAAACTTAGATCTAATTCAGTCACCACCAATCATCAAGAGTTGACAGAAGTTAAATCTAAAGGTCACTGAAGAAATAAAACAACTTTTCCCATTTTCCAGAAAGCAGGATCAAAAACCATAACATACACGATACATCTCTTACATAGATATAAAACCTTACCCACATTTCCCTAAGTCTTTTAGCATGCTAATTAAAAAAGTTGTTTAAAAAGAAATATTTTATATTTATGGAGATATGAGTAAGATTTTAACTTTCCTTGCTTGGAGTTGTTTCCTTATCCCTTGAACTTGCCCTACGATTTTGAGTTTCTAGGGCACTGAATTATAGCACAATATTGCTTTATTTTATTCAGTTCTTTTATTGTGCTTTGGTCTGTCCCTCCGGAGTGGGCTAGTGGCGGGATACTTGAGACTTTCTATACATGTCACACTGACTCCATAATTTATCCTGATTTAGCAGCCACCTGGATGTCCAGGGTGAGCATTTGGACCACCTGCCAAGCTAATCCAGCCCAGCAACTAATCAAGGGTGGACTGAGAACAAAAGTAGAGATACACTTTCCTAAATGGATACACTGTCAATAAGCTTGCCAAATACTTTAAGTCAAGACAAGTCCATTTCAGTGAACAAAGTAAACCCAGGATTTTTTCCTAAAAGCAATTCACCTTTTAGTCAAATGTTATCTCCTGCAACATCACTTCTAATTACATTTACAAAAACAAAATATGATTAAAACTCACCAATGAAATTTTGCACCAGTCAATGTAAAATTGAGTACGAAATTTTTTATCACATGTGATTACAGGCTCCATTTCTTGACTGCATCTCAGTTGATTCTGCGGATTTTCAACTTCTCGTAAGCAAGAAGAAAATGGGACGTCTGCACCAACCATGACATAAACGCTGCAAAATTGTGAAACTCTTAGGTTATCCTTTAAGAAAATTGAAAACACTGAAAAACAATCTACTCTGAAAGCAGGATTTATCCTTTTGAATCGAGGGATTATCTAGAATCTCCCCTAAGGTACAGGCTGTGTTTTAATGGCAGTGATTCATGTAGGGGCTTCCTTTCATCCTTTCCGTTATTCAGCCAGTATTTACTGAGGGCTTCAGTGGACCAGACAATTTCTCAGATCTACGGTAATTTCTCAATTTTTTTTATCCTACTTATTTTAATTCAAAATAAGTGTGTGTCCTATTCTGGTTAGTACATTGGGTAGGTTCCTCCCATTTAAAAATTATTCTTAAATTGTTTAGAAAATAATACAACCATTAAAATAATAAATAATTATTAGTAACTGATCTTCCCTTGAATTCATTTTAATAAGAGTGTGACATTACACCCTCAGAGGTATGGAGCTTTAGGAAGACTTAGCTACTCTACCCAAGAGTTCCCTCTGTCAGCTGTCCTGCTTCACAGACCCTCCTGTTAGATCTCTCACGGCAAGGTCTCTCAAACTTTTATCTGAGAAGTTAATATAAGATAAGAACTATTGCTTGTTAACCACAAACTAAGCAAACAAAATTTATTTCCTTGATGTGTATGTTAGCAATTAGGGGAAATAATTCCACTGAAATGACCAATAGGTGATACGCAATAAAAGAGAACACGATAATAGCATTTGTATTTTTTTTGGGGTTTTTTATTTAATCTTTATTGTATTTTTTCCATTTAAATAATCTTAGAAAAGCTTGAGAAGATTAAGAAATACAAATAGGTAGTTACAGAATAGCCATGGGGCGTAAAGTACAGTATAGGAGATGGAGTAGCCAAAGAACGTATACACACGACCCATGGACATGAACAATGGTGTGGGGACTGCCTGAGGGAGTGGGGGGCGCTGGGTGAAGGGGAGCAAAGGGTAAAAAATTGGGACAGCTGTAATAGCATAATCAATAAAATATATTTAAAAAAAAGAAATACACAGTCTTTCAAAAGAAAAAACTAGGAAATTACTCTAAATTAAATATTATTTCTTTTGCTAATAACAATGCTATATAGCTACTTATGAAATGAAATAAACCCATTAGAATTCAGCTGTCTTCCTTGCAGAAATTGACAAACTAATCCTAAAATTTATATGGAAATTTAAGGGACCCAAAGTAGCCAGAAAAAAAAAAATCTTGAAAAAGTTGGAAGACTCACAATTAACAATTTCAAAGCTTGCTACAAAGCAAACAGTAATTAAGATATATAGTACTGGCATAAGGATAGACATGTAGATCAGTGGAATGGAGTTAAAAGTTCAGAAGTAAATTCTTACATTTAATAAACTGATTTTTGTTATAGGTGCCAAGACAATTCAATGGAGGAAGAGTAGCCTTTATAATATAGTGCTGGGACAACTGGATTTCCAGATATAAAAAAAGGAAGTTGAACCCCTACCTCACACCATGTTAAAAATAACTCAAAATAGTTCAAAGACTTAAATGCAACAGCTAAAACTATTAAACTCTAAGAAGAAAACAGGCGTGAATTCTTCATGACCTTGGATTAGACACCAAGATGTGACACCAGAGGTTCCAGCAATAGTTGAAAAAAAATAGATAAATTGGACTTACAAAAATCAAAAGCTTTGTGTTTCAAAGGACACACTTCAAGAAAGTGAAAAGGAAACCCATGAAATGGGAGAAAGTATTTGCAATTCATAGATCTAATAAGGAGACTTGTATTCCCAAAACACAAAGGGCACTTACAATTCAATAACAAAAGACAAATAATCCAAATTAAAATGGAAAGGATCTGAACAGACATTTCTCCGAGGAAGATATACAAATATTCAATAACAACATAAAAAGATGCTCAACATCATTATCCATTAGCAAATGAGAGATCAAAACCACAATAAGATACCACTTCCCACTCGTTTTAATAAAAAGACAACAGGAGTACTGGTGAGGATGTGAAGAAACTGGAACTCCCCTACTCTGCTGGTGGGAATGTAAAATAGTGCAGCTGGTTTGGAAAACAATCTGGCAATTCCTCAAAAGGTTAAATACAGAGTTATCATGTGACCTGCATTTCCACTCCTAAGCAAAATAAAAGTATGTCTATACAAAAATTTGTGCATGAATGTGTATAGCAACATTGTTTCTAATAGCCGAAACGTGAAAACCACCTAAATGCTTGTGCATGGAATGGATAAAAGGTGGAATATTTATACAATAGAATATTAGACATAAAAAAGAATGCAGTACTGATGCATGCTAGAGCGCGGATAAACTGAAAACAGTATGCTGAGTGAAAGAAGCCAGTCACAAAAGACCACATACTATATGATTTCATTCATAGGAAATGTCCAAAACTAGGCAGAATTATACAGACATCAAGTAAACAGTGCTTTCCTGGGGCTGGAGGGTAATGGTGCTAAGTAACTGTTAATGGATGTGGGAAGGGGGTGTTGGGATTATGAAAATATTCTGAAATTGTGATCATGATTGTACAATTTTGGGAATAAACTCAGATCCACTAAATTACAGATTTCAAATATGTGAATTGTATGGTATGTGAATTATGTATCAAGAAAATTTATTTTTTTTTAAAGATTTTATTTATTTTTAGAGAGAGGAAGAGAAGGTCAAAGAGAGGGAAACATCAATGTGTGGTTGCCCCTCCTTTGGGCCCCCAACTGGGGACCCGGGCCGCAACCCAGGCATGTGCCCTGGCTGGGAATCGAACCAGGGACTCTTTGGTTTGCAGGCTGGTGCTCAATCCACTGAGCCACACCAGCCAGGGCAAGAAAATGTTATTTTCAAAAATAAAAATAAGCCCAGCATAAAAACTCAAAGCTATGTCAATGTAAGTATGAAGTCATACCCTGAGTTGAAATCTGCGCCCCAGAGTACAATTACACAAACTCATTTGGTTGCTCTTTATGTGAAATGTGTATTTGGACTTAAAAGTCATTTGAAAGAACATTTTTTAAAAAGCAGTGCCTTTGGAAGACAAACAATATACAATGGACTGAAACTAAATTAAAAATTCAGAACAAAAGTAGATATGAGAAACCATTGGTAAAGTATGTAGATGATCAGTGAATCTACACATATTCCATTTAAAACGAGTTACTTTTAAGTCCCATTCACTGCCTGGTGAAGACCATATTTTCCCTTGATAATTGTGAAATAGATTTGTAAATACAGAAATATTGATCTTATTTTTTACAGTAGTCCTCTTTCTTTAACATGACATTGATTTACATTTATAATTAATGATTTAAAAACTAATTCACTTCAAGATAACATAAGTGGACATTAGCATATGAGTTTTTGGTGCTTTGAAAAGTTTATTTTTTTCTCAAATTAAAAAGCAACATAAAACATTATATAACACCTGGAATGAAACAGAATTAAGTAATTTTACTGAGATAACTGTTTTCACTTTCCAATGTACTTTGCAGAATATTTTTCAAATGCATATATTTCAGCCTAATTGCAATCATCTCTAAAATACAACTTTGTATCCTTTTTCACTTAATGCATCATAAACATTTTCCATATTGCACAGCCTTTGTAATTATAGTTTTATGGCAACATAATTTTTTAAGTGCACATGATTTACTCAGCAATTATTTCAGAGTTGGACTTGTAAGTCGTTTCCAATTTTTTGATGTTATAAATAATATTGCAAAGACTTTGTGCATATTCTTTAATGTTACTATGTTAGAAGAGATGCCTAGACGTGGAAACATTTTTATGACAGTGGACACATACTGCCAAATTACTTTCATCTCTTCTTGGATGATCCATAAGCTTCACAAACTTAATATGTTCCAAGCTGAGCTCATCATCACCCCCACCCCCCACCTCCACCTGTTCCTCCTTCTATCTTCTTCTCTCTCAGTGACTGGCATGGCCAGATGCTCAAGCACCATCATCTTTGGGTCCTTCTTCCCACATATTCAATCCATCACCAGCCCCTGACACTGACGCTGGAACAACTCTCATACACCCCCGTCCACTTTGTTCCATCCCACAAGCCTAGTTCTAGCCACCATCACTTCCCCCAGGGAGCGAAACGACAGCCCCTTAACAGTTCTCCTTGAACCCAGTCGTTTTCGCTGTTCTCTGGGAGCCTATTTGCCGAATAAATAAATAAATGAAAAGCATTACACCTGTTTAAAGACACCAGCAAGCGTATATTTGAAAGCTGCTAAGAGAGTAAATCTTTACAATTCTTATCATAAGGAAAAAAAAAATGTGTAGCTATGTGCGGTGACAGGTGTTAACTTATTGTGGTGATCATTTTATAATTTATATATATGTAAAATCATTATACTGTACACCCTTAAACTTATACAACATATTAATTACATCTCAATACAACTGGGAAAATAAGTTAATTAAATAAAATGCAAACAGACTACATACAAATGTCATGCTCAAGAAAAAGATATTGGAATTGCCTTGTAGGGAAAAAAATTCTGTATATATTGTTTCTTTTGTAGAACCAATAAGTTTCAACATGGTGGCTTTTTAAAAAATAATTTTGCATGAGGCCCTGTCCTATATAACAAAAACTATGCTATACATGCTAAAATTACATTTTCATAGTCTCTTGTTTTCCTTTCAGCTGGCTATTTGATATGCAGAAATTAAATTTTTTTTTGAGGGTGATCTTTACCTTTATAATTTTAGCTACATATTTTCCAACTTTTAAATGTGTGTGAGTAGATGACATGGGAACACATTACCAAGGGCAAGGCTCTCCGGCAATGTTAGCGGAATGTGGTGCCTCAGAATCTTAGGGATTGGTAAGCACTAGATAGAACTTGTTCTTCATAAGGACTTTTTTTCTTCCAATTTGAACAACTCAATTTCCCCTGAGGTAAAATGCATTTACCGAGGCCTTTACAAGAAAATGTGAAGAATGAGAAACAGGTAAAACATTTAAGTTAAAACTCTGCTTTTTTTCAGCAACAGGCAGATAGATAGACCCAATGATTGTATTTTTTTTTTTTTTTTTTTACCTAACTGTCCAAGGACTGAATGTATTTTATTCTTTATTTTGTGAATATAGGAGATAAAAGGCACTCTGGAGAAGAACGCGTCTGCCCACGTTACCTGTTGCCTGGCCACCGTCGGCTCTTAAATGTGCCGTGATCCCTGCCTCTGTCCCTACCCCACTTCTTTGCTCTGTGCCTATGTGCAATCAATCAATCAATCAATCAGTCAATAAAAAAATGAAAAATAAAGATTAAAACTAAATAAAGGACCTAATACAGAAGAAAAACAAAGTAAAGGGCACCTTGGACTCCAGTCCTACTGCTTGCTTACTCCTTCTTCTCTACTGGGCAAGGAATGGATTCTCAGAAAAGGGAGCAGGCACATGGGCCCAGACCTCTGGTTTTTGGGGGAGCTTTCTGCGTGCAGAAGGGAGATCTTTGGGTTCGCTCTATTCTTTCATGTGGTGGGCTTAGTAGGCCCACCTGCTAAAATTAAAACTTTAATATAAGCCATTTTCTACAAAGGTCCTTAGTACATCAGGATAAAAGCCGAACATTTTTGCCTGGTGCACAAGGCCTCACGTGGTCTGAGCTTTGCCTCCTTGGTAACTATCCCTTCTGGATCCCTGTTCTCAATTTCCCCACAAAGTAGGTTTCCAAATCCTCCACGCTTTCTCTTATCTGTGGGCTTTTGTCCAAGCTGTTCCCTCTGCCTAGAGTCTTCCTTACTCATTTTTTGAGCAGGCTAATTTGTTCTTGTATTTTAAACCCAGGTCAGACCTCAGTTCACCTCCTCTATGAACCCGTTTTGGGCATCTACCTTTTGTCGGGGAGGAGCATACAACTGTGTCGTGTACCACACTGTTTTCTTTTTTCTTTTTTTTTTTTTTTAATGATCTCATTACTTGCCTGGATACTAACAGATTGTGAACATAGACTGTATTTTTTAGATCACTGTACCCCAGAGACTAAAATACTATTCCCCCATAAAAATACTAAATAAATGAAAGAAAAACATGACTGTATGCACAGAACTTAGAAGAACAGATATTAGACTAGAAGAATAGATATATAGATCTAGTTGCATCGCTTTCATTTATTTTTATACTTACAAAATGGATTTATATGGGTCTTCAATTTTTATGTTATTAAATGCCTTTTTTAAAAAAATTCCTAACTTATATCACTATAATTTTATACATGAAAAGATATTTGCACCAAAAATATCAAAGCAAACATTATTTAAGAATAAAGGACAACCTTGTAAATCACCAAACATGGGGTCAATTCAGCAGAACACAAGGGTCTGGCCCAGCTGCACCAGAGCAGTGCTTGGCAGCCGCCCGCTTACATTCGCTTCCTCAAGTGGAACTTCTCGCTGAGGCCGTGGTAGGGCAAAAAAGCAGACGACTAATTAAAGGGAGTACTTTGTGAGATTGTCTAGAGAATAAACAAGGATTCTCGGTTGCTGATTGAGGCTAGATCCACACGCTTTGGTAACCAGAGGAAACAGAGGTCGGTTTGACAATCTCTTATGAAAAGTGAGTATATTCTTTAATCCTCACACCCCATCATTCCCTTCAGAGCCACCATTTACACCACATCATTCACCCTCGGTTGGCAGCTATGCCAGGCCTAGAATGAAATATGAACCTGCTCCTCTTTCCACCAGCTTAACCCGGGCTAAATGCATCCACAGAATCCTTAGCTTCTGGCTCCACGTCAGGAGCAAAAGCGGCACCAAGACCATCAGAGACGGCACAGTTGTCCTGCCCGGGGTTCTGGGTCTGGCCAGTGAAAGGGAATCTTTCCAGGAGGTTCAGTCTTCCCTTGCAGGAGTGTGCTCACTGTGACATAAATCTTTATAGTTGTTTTCTGTTACATTTAGGAGAAGGTTGGGAGCTGTCAGTGAGTTCCGCAGAGACGAAAAACATCGAGAAGGAAGAGGAACTGCATGCTGTTGAGTGGGTTCTTGATGATCGACATTTAATGGTGCTTTGGGCTGTGGAAGGGCTGTAGGTTTACCCTGAGGGTCTGCCATGAGAAAGTCTCTTCCTCATTTACCGTTTATTTCACTACATATAGCAATTATGGGAAATTTTGCAATGAGTGGATTAATACTTCTGAAGTGTATGAGTATATTTTTAAATAAAATGTTAGGAAAAAAAGGGATGCAATGCTTTCTGCTCTCTCTGACCCTATCTCTTGATCTTTTCAATATTTCATTATAAAAAGAGATATGTAGCCCAAGTCCTTTTTTGAAAAAATTACAGAGGCAAAAAGTTTATTACGCAAATTAATAATTATGATATACACCATTAAAAAGAAAGAAAAGCACAAGAGATGAGTTAAGCATTGGATTTATTTCTAAATTTAAGGCAATAAGGGTGAAAAATTAGTAGCGTGAAATTATATAACAACTGAGGAAAATATACAAAATCATTCCCAGGGACAAGTTTTTCTTCTGGAATTACAGGCAAGGAGAGTCTTATTTCATTAGTGCTTGTATAGGGACATGGTTTTTAATAAAGTTGGCTTTGGGTAGAATTTATAGAAATGCTATTTAGAAAGAGTTTTTGAATACTTTGTAAAGGTTATTACGGCTTAACATTAAACTGAAACTCGGGGAAAGCATTTCAGGTTGGGAAGGGATCTAAGACAAGCAGGGTCCAGATAAATGCCAGGAACCGACTGTCAAATATCTGACAGCACATGCCGCCCTCGAGCAGGTGCTGGGGGTCAGTCAGCTAATGACTGAATTCTCTAACAACTCCTTGAAGGACAAAAATTCTGTTCTTAATTTAGAGTCACATGCTCAGGCCCAGCCTTCGACTCAAAGATTCAGAATCTCCAGGGGAATCGGAGGCCGGGAACCTGTGTCTATATTTTTACTCAAGTGCCTACTGGCAATTCCCAGGCTAGACATAGCTGGGGAGCATGTTTTAAGTCCAAGTTTGGTTTAGAGCGTTATTTAGTTCAATTTAGTTTAGTTGTTTCTAGAAGTGTCTCTACATGTGGAGCCTGCACTACTGATGAGGAAGGGGTGAGCCCAGAAGAGAGCAGCGCTATGGAAAACTCCACCACACCGGGTCTTCACGTTGCCCTCTCCCACATCTTTGCCCGGCGTTTTAACAATCATCACAGAACACGTTACTTTAACAAATGTTGAAAAGATTCCCCATATGGAGAAGATTTTTGGGGAAGATACCTCTAACCAGTCTCTTTCCACAGTACTTCCTTAATTAAAGAATCATATTGTAACTCTGAAGTAAAACATGGGAACCCTAGAATTATGTTTTCATATAAAAAGCCACCCAACAGACAAGAGATAAAGCAACTATTTTACTCAAAGCACTTCTGCGTGTGCGTGACTGACCTCAGAATACGTTACTGAAACATGAAAGGTGCAATTTAATTCTGAAATTCGTAAACTGGACTTCACAGCTCACTGCTTATCCCTTACCTCACTTCTGCCTACTCCCTTGTACTTCAGCTCTATCTATTTGTGATCTTTTCCCTTATTTCCAACAAAGTTCTCCTTAATGGCTACCCTCAAATTTAATTCTTACTAATCCAGGCATTCTAGGTGATTCTAGATAGCATCTGAGTAAAAATGTTACCAGGAACATGGATGAAGGAGGAGCTGGAAAGGAATATGTTACATGACACACAATGTGACTCATTCCATATTTCATGTTTACAGAACTGGGTATGAGGCGGGGTGGGGTGGGAGAAGTGTAGTTCTACCTCAACCTACAGATTAGAAATTACAGATCAAAGTTTGATTGACATTGACATGCAAGCCTTTCAATTTGCCCAGGATACGGATGTTTCTTAACCTCTCCAGGGGTATGAGTCATACTCTGCACTTGTAAGACTTGAGAACAGACAGAGCTCTTCCCGAAGACATTGTTTCATTTAAACATTACCACAAACTCAAGGCGAGGTGTGGGGTAAAATCCCCATGGGAGCAAATGAGGAAGCTAAGGCACAGAGAAGTACAGCATTTTGCCCGATGTCATCCAGCTTGTGAGTGACAAGGCCAGGCTTTAGGAATGGGTTTCAAATCCACTTTAGCCATCAGTCACCGACACATGGTGGAAAGAATGTTAAAGGCAAAGAAATAGTTTCCTAGAATAAAGTTACAGTAGTCTGCCTGTCCTTCTATAGCTGATAACTGGGGCATCAATTTCCTTTGAAATTCCGGGCCCTAAATAATCAGTTTCTCTATGGAACATACAAAAGATTTAGCACTATAATTTATGATTGCTGATCCTGATCTACAATTAGATTTCACAGGACCTGGAACATCAGATACAAAGAACCATTAATATAACCTCTTTGTCAATACCAAAAATTGCTAGTATTTTCATATCTTTACAATACCCATTTCTTATTAAAAAAGAAAAACGCAATAGGCCACCTTCGCTATAAGTTGGATAAGATCACCATATTTAAAAATTCATATTTAAGGCAACGAGATAAAGGTCTGCTTACCCCTCCTTCATGTCATTAATGGGGAGCGGAACCCTGCCCCCCCTGTCCAGGGCCGACGTGATGTTAATGGCGTTCAGGCGCTCCGGCTGCCACACATTTTTCACGGCCCCAAGAAAGTCTCCGAGAACTTCACTTGCCAACATTTCTTCTACATTCATATTTTTAATGAAGAATTCTGCTTGATATGGTAACGGGAAGTCTAATTTTGGTTAAAAAAAAAGGTATGGATATCTTTAATGAAGTAGTCTTTTGAAAGAGAAACAAAAGAACAATTCTAGCTTTGTTGATTTCTGTTATTGTCCTGGCTTTGGAAAATGCTATTAATACTGACTTTAAAGGCTTTCCGTATAACAGGGGACGTATCAAAAAACATAACATACATTTGACACAGAATTTGATCTACAACGCAATAAAATCCAAGGGCGGAGGAGAGCAATAATTACAAAATTTGATTAAAAAAAGGCCGAATCGGCTTCCAACTTGCCCATGGCCTGCCAGCCTCCCCCTGCTGCCTCACCCAGGCAGACGGAGCCCTTCTAGGATTCTACGTGGGCAGGAGTAATATTTTGTATTGATAGTGTTTTAAAATTAACAGATCTTTTTCAAATACATCCTCTCATTTAATCATTACAACCTTAAGTAGGGCTATTTTTATCTGAAAACATGTCATTATACTAGGTACTGTAGATAGTTATAACACAATGGTAAGGATTTATGTATCTAAACAAAGAAAAGGTACAGTAAAAATATAGTATATTGTCTAACCATTATGCTATATACCTGAAACTAATACAAAATAATATTTAGTGTAAACTGTAATTGAACAATAAACTTTAACAATATGGTATATAGGACAAAAACTGGTTCACCTGTATAGGACACTTCCCTCGGATGGAGCTTGTGGGGCTGGAAGTTGCTCAGGAGTCAGTGAGCGACGGGTGAGTGAGCACCAAGGCCTGGGTCATCACTGTTTACTACTGTGGGCTTTATACACACTGTGCACTTAGGCTCCACTCAATTTATTTTAAAAAGAGCTTAGTGCTGTGCTACAGTGTTACGATGGCTACGGTATCACTAGGTGATAGGAATTTTTCCACTCCATTATAATCTGATGGGACCATTTCAAATAGGCCGTCCAAAATGTCATGCGGTACATGGCTGCTTACTGATCTTTCTGGAGCATGCTACAATATCACTTTTTACTAAAATAAATATGGATTATATTTTCAATAAGAATTCTGAAATTCTAACAACATCACTATTTTGATCACTCCACAATATTCTAGAGAAATTATACTTTAAATTTCTCATGAAATTCCCTATCTCATATAGAGTATTTAGCTTTCTTCCTACCTAATGTCTCATCCATGTTTCCCTCCAAAGATTTCAGAATACTTTAAGCCAACTGAATGTCCAACTCACATTCTCAGTATAAGAAACTCTAAGTAAATATAATCTGTTTCTCAAACTTTATTCTTGAATTATAAACCATCATTTCCTCTATTTTACTTGTTCTGTGAAGATAAAAAATAGCTTTCTTTTTGTTTCATAATATTTCTATAATAATAAAGGCTGCTTTGTTTTAATACTTACTATGAGGCAGCCCAAGCTAAGAGATTGAGGTGAATTATCACACTGAATACTCACAATGAGAGGGTGAGTGGGTACTTGTATTGCTCTCCATACTTTCAGAAGGGGAAACTGATCTTTAGTGAGGTTCGGAAATTTACCATCATCTGAACTAACATGGTTTTCATCTCAGCCAAAGGAGACTGTATATAAAGTGCTCAGTGGAGCTACTAGCATAGAGGAAGAACTTACAAAATATTAAACTTTAGCAATTACCACAATAATATGAACAGGTTAATTGCCTAAATTCTTTCCTTAAAGGAAAAGAAAATGTTTCTGGACTGTACACAGATTTAAAGTTTCTAGTAGTACTTGTACTATGATTTATTTAATTAGAACTCATATATCTATAAAGTATTCCCCTCTTAACAAAATTTAAAAAACTACATAATAAATGACTGAAATATTCATGATTGCACTTTTCATGAAGTTTCTTTTAATAATAAAGGATCTCTGATGCCAGTGGTGAAGTCAAGGTAGATATTCTGGCTTTACAGTTTTCAAGAGTTTTCTAGAATGTGGCATCTCTTCTTAAAGATTTTCTCAAGGCCCTGATTACTCATCTTCTACACTGTCATTTATTCTGCTTATGGTTTTGTTGGATTTGTTTGATGTAAAGGTCATCTGCAATCTTTTAAAATATGACATATTTATTCTTTTATGTAGATAAGTTTCTCATGTTATAGATGCATTTCTTGTTTCATAGAGATGAACACTAGCTTAATCGTATTGCATTTCTTCGCCCACACCGAGAGATAGTTGTGCAGAAATGTGTCATGAAGAACAGTTCCTTGGCAATAAATAATATTTATAAATAATGCCAACCACAGTTTTGGGTATGCTAGAAGTCTATCCTTGATGCACTTCATTCAGTGTTTTCACACCCTCTTTTCCAAAGAAACGTGCAAAACTTGCTTCTCATTATCCATGCTTTCTGGATAATGGCTACTTGGCTTTTCCTCATTTGTGTGACCCGGCTTTGTGGCTCCCTTACAAGTCTGGCTGCAGCCACACCCCTCCAGGCTCTGGGCTGGGCAGCTGCCTGCTGTCTCCCCAGCCAAGCGTGGCTGCCAGGGCTCCCAGGGATGAGTCACACGAGCTTTCTAACTTTGGGGAAATCCCATGCCTGCTATATTTGGACATCATAGAGGCCAAGGGAACAGTAGGCCAACAGATTGGTGGCAGGCCTCTGAGGCACTAAACCCCATTTAGAGGATCACTCTGTGTACTCTCCATGAGCTCCAGGCTGTGTGAGTCTACAGAGTAATTTCCCATTAGGCCTCTCAAAGCAGGAGGCAGCTGGGCAAGGAGTCAGACTGAGCGTGATTATCCTGATGTTCAACACGTTTCTTTTCCTAACTTTGTCTGGGGGAAGTGGCATGTGTGTAGGTCATGCTCAAAGTCATGCATCCTGGAACCCATACAGATTCTATCAATACCAGCAAGGATAAATGCACGCTCACTTGGTTCCCTGGTTTTCACAGCTTTGGGCCCCTGAATCCTCTGTGAAAGGCAGTAGAGCAGCTCTGCCTGAAGTAAAAGTGGAGGCTTCTGAAATCCATCTACTCTTACTCCCTCATCAACACACTCTCAAAACCCCCGAGTTTTAGATAAACAGCCCTGAAAGTCAACTTTCAATAGTACAGTTGTCTAGCTGTCTTCCACTAGTATCTGCTTGAACATGGGTCCCCACACATCAACAACATCCATTAGGATGTCGATGGACTCTATATCCATAGGACTGAGATATGACTTGAGAAAGAAGAGGTTCAAACTACAGACCAGGCCATCTTTCAGTTAATAGTGACTCCCATACCTGTCAAAGGGTTTTGAGTCACTCTGAGAACACAGTGCTGAGGGTAGTGGTCCAAGCCCACTGTAATGTAACTACATAACTGTATTGTTGCAGTCCTTAGAAGAAAGGGAACTTGGCAATTATTCTGCTCATTAAGGGTATTCCAATTCTTTAGGGATCGATTAGACTGGGACTAGCATCCAAACATAGCTGGAGTCAAGAACAAGTCTCCCTGATCCAAATGTCAGTACCTATGAGAAGTGAAACAGTGATGGACAGAGAATCTTCTGTCCAAGCCTACAGAACTGGCATCTGGACTTGTTTTTTATATGTGGAGGTCATTTAAAATTTTAAACTAGCAGAAACTAGCAGATTCGTCTGCAATTGGTCATCTCCCCAATTACGGATTGCATAATCAATTCTATAGAATTTGTTTTCTTTTGCATAGTGTAAAAGACAGTATTTAACCCGGCCTTTACTGAATGATCATGAAATCCAAATTAGTAGGTTCTGATAAAGTATTTTGTATTTGTTCATTTGTTTTTAAGTGTACTGGCAAACAGAAAAGAATTCCCCTACCCAGGATACACATTGTTTTACTGTTTTGGGGGTGGGGGGAATGTTATATCCATTCTTCTGTTACTCTTATACATGATATGTGGTATAGAGAAGAGTACCCCGTGACATAGACATTTTAAATACAAAGTTTTTAGTGGTAAGTATTTTTCCCAATTAAACAGCAAAATAAGGTCAGAATATTTGAGAGTGTAATTCTTGGAATATCTCCTGTGTCCTTCCAAATCCTTGGGAATCACTTACGATTTGAACTTCCGTAACTCAATTGCTGGTGGACTCCAGCAATTACTGAGGCATGATTAGCTACTAGGAAGGAGACTGTGACTCAAATTAGAGTTTACTTCTGTCCATCTATAATGCTTTATCTTCACATACAATTGAACCACGACCTACGATAAGTTTTAATGAAACTAGCTGACAATTACCGGTCGTGCACTCTGTGCTCAGCCCCGTGTTAAGCACATTCAAGCCAAATTCATGGAATCTATATCCCAAACTGACGAGAGCAAGTCTGTTCTTAGTTTTATTGTACAGATTATAAAACTAAGGCTTGAAGAAATAAGCGGCGGGTTTGGCTCCCTATCCTCAGCTTTTCGGCAACCATAAAATATCATGGTATTTTATAACAAATTAAATGCTGCTTAATTTTCTTTACTACATTTTACTATTTTATTCGTTATATTAGATATCCAGTACTTTAAAATCCTTAACTATATTTTACATAGATATAAACCATAATGAAATTCTTCTCATAAGTAAGAAAGCGATCAGCAACATAGCTTTTTTCATACCTACCTTCTGCTGACATTATATTAATTATCAAATTATGCCTTGCAGTCTCAAAGGTACGCCTATTGTAGGCAGTTATCTATTAGAAAACAAAAATCATATTAAAGAAGTGAAATGTTATTTGGAAAATGAAACTCATTAAGGACAAAATGAAAGTAAATTGTTGTTCTTTCCATTTTATTATTTGTTTATATACTTACAAAATATTCCTTTTCTGGACAATAAGAACTCAGAGCTTTTAGCAATATTATGGGAAAATAAATCATTAGTCAGGTCTATTTAACATGCTGAAACAACAAGTTAAAATCAGAACATCCTTTTTACAGAAGACCGTTAAGTGCTAATCGCAATGCAGATACACCATTAGTAAATGGATTAACAATTATGAATTACTTACAGGTGCCATTCTAAGATTTCAGAAAAACCAAAACAATGTATTTTTGTACTTTTAACTGGAGCTTAAGGATTAAACTGGAAAGTACACTTCAAAACAAGCACATCTCTGTGTTGTTGGCGCACCAACCAGTCAAAAAAATGTCATAAATAACCCTTTGGAAATCATCTCTCACTTACAATGGGAGTGAAGTGGTAAAGTTCATGGTCTAGAAAGCTTACAACACATGCTCAAAAACACAAATCAATCCCTTTGTATGACCAAGCATTAGTAAACATTTGCAGAGCCAATGAACTTACATCAAAGTTAACTCAGGAACAGCCACTGCAAACAACAAACAAAGCAAAGGCCAAAAACAGGATAATACTTTAAAAAATCAAGGAATAATTAACTTTAAAACAGACAGGAAATCATTCAGACAGGTCTGCAGTACCTCAAAAAGAAAAAAATGAAAGGACTGTGCCGGTCTTAGCGTCCAAGCATGAGCCTCCTGGCAGTGGCTGCAGCTGCGGCCAACGCTGAGAGAGAGAGTCGAGCAAACTGACTCAAGCTAAAAAGAAGGTCTCGCTCATTTAAAAACGAATCGTAAAGAATTTTATAGCATCACATATGAGCTTAAATGCAACAAATTACACTCAGAAATATTTGCAGAAATAGTAAAAATCAAAATTTTGAAAGAATTCCAAACCTTTGACAATACTGCAAAGTACATGTTCTGAAAAACGTATCATTACACAAAGTTAAAGGAACTCTCTCCACAGTTTGTCTGATTTCTTCATGACTTCCTTGTTGTATTTGTTGAGACACATGATTAATTAGATTAACACTGAAATGAAGACTAGTCATTAAAATAAACTAGGAAGTATTATTGACAATGAAGCAAATAAAAAAATGTAATAAAGATTTCATTTGGGAATCCTCATGATATTAAAAGTTCACACTGCAAGAAACTTAATCATACAGTATTACCAATGACAAAAAGTATCAATCTTCTACTATTTGTTGTAATATCTCAAAGCTAAGGCTCAGAAAGCAGTATTAGACATTTTCAAATAAGTGGCAATATTTTTATGGCTAGCCTTCCCATAATTATCACAAATCTAATTATTATAAATCTCATAAATTCTAATTTTTAAAAACAAATCACAGCTACTGTAAAGAAAGGAGAACACTTCACAAATCAGGAGGAAGAATTTTATTATCTGAATTTATATTTAATGTTTAATTTTAACAGCTATAACAGAATGTAGCCTTATCACTTCTAATGAGATATTGAAGTATATAATATTCCCAAATTTTACTTTTCATGATAAAGTAAGGCCCGTCATAGCCAAGAGGTACATGGGCATCGTTTTTTGATCCCCTATTTCTAGAAAGGTGGCTGATCTATTTCAGATGATTACCAGATATCTAGAGAATAAATTAATCAGTGGATTTATATAATTAAAAGTTTAAGATATGCGAAGGTCTTGACTATATTAATAGAATATTTTAAACTATTGTAAATATGTTATTATATATGGATTTAAAAATGAGTTATTTGCTATTTGTGTCAGATAAAGATAAGTTAAATTTTCATCATTGTATTTTTAGCATATTGTTTGATACATATTCATAACCTCATATTTAGTTACAAGGTACAAGAACATAATGCCCCTGTGAATCCTCAACATACTTTTTTCTGTCCTAGCCCCTCACCTCTCTCCAATCAGAAATAGCCATTTCCAACTTTGTATTTATCATCCTCTTCATTTTAAATGTAGTTTTTTTATAAGTGCATGTATGCTTAAAATATGTTGTTTAATTTGCTTTTTTTTTGAGCTTTACAATAAAAATGGCAAACTGTGTGTAGTCTTCTGGGACTGGTGTTTTTTATTCAACACTATGTTTAAAGCATTTATCATGACTAGGCAAGATTAAGTTCATTGTTGCTGTAAACATTCACCATGTGACTGACTATTCCAAAATTTAGTTAGCCATTCTCTTGCTGATGAACTTTTGGGGTTGCCATAGGTTTGTGGGGTTCCCGTGTTATACTATACAAACATTGCTCAATGAGCATGACTGTACATGCCTCAAAGTGGACATCTGCAAGTGCCTCTTTTGGGTATGTACCTAGAAGTGGGACTAAGAGATCACAGGGTACAGTGATACTTATTTATGCGAAATATTTGGGAATGTCTTCAAAAGTGGTTATGCCAATTCCCACATCCACTCACAATGAATTTTACTGAGGGTAAAATTATCACTGTGATCTTAATTTTAATATTCCTCATTACTGATGAGAGTAAACTTCTTTACTTAATTGGCATTTATGTCTCCTCTTTATGAAAGGTCTGTTCCTATCTTTTTTTAATTGGATTGTAAGAGTCCTTTCTTTACATTTTAGATACTCACCACTAGTCAGATATATATATTTACATTATCTTCCTCAAGTTTTTGGGTTGTCTTTTTTTTTAATGGTTTATTTTGGTGAACAGAAGCTTACAAGTTTAATTAGATAAAAATGTATCCATCTTTTCTCTTAAAAAAAAACACTTAGGTATTATTTATGAAATCCTTCCCTAACCTAAACTCAGGAAGTTCTTCTGTATTTTATGTAATAGCTTACAATTTTGCTTTTCACATTTAAATCCTCAATCTAGACTTGAGTTTTATATTTCCTGGGAAGTAAGAATCTAATTTTGTTTGCCACCTGGCTAACCAATTGTCTGAGTACAATTCACTATTTAACTATCCTTTTCCCCAATGATCTGTGGCACTATCTCTTCAGATACATACCACTGTTCCTTATGAGACAGAGGTGATTATTAATACATTTACTATTTTGATGTGCTTTTTCTTCTGCCTAAGATAACCTTCCTTCTATTTTGTGAAGTGAATCCCTATTTACCCTCTTACAACTCTGCATCAAACAGCACCTTCTTATTATAACAGTAATGTCAGTGTTGGCTAAGGGTGGGTTTCCATTTCAGGGCGTCAACCCCTAGACTCACCCGTTACTCTTCTTTCTATCACCAGCCACCTATCATGATGCTTAGAACATGACAGCAGCTCATAAAACATCTGCAATATTACTGTATTTCAATGAATGTGAAATTTGAAATGAAAATATGGAGCAAGTAACTTTGCATTTATTTTCTTAAATAGAATTCACATTATAGTAATCTATTTCTTTTAAATGTCTTAATTTTTCCACTAATTTCAACAGCCCTTTTTATAGAAAAGGTGAAACAAAAGATCTGTGTAAATGATACAGACCAATAGAACAGAACTGAGAGCCCCAAAACCACACATGTATAGGCAAATAATTTTTGACAAAGGAGTCAAAAACACACAGTGGAGAAAAGAAAGCCTCTTCAATAAATGGCACTAGGAAAATCAGAAAGCCACATGCAAAAGAATGAAACTACAGTTTGTCCCCATGTACAAAAATTAATTCAAGCAAAGACCTAAACAAAAGATCTGAAACAATAAATTACATAGAAGAAAACATAGGTACTAAACTTACGGACCTCAAGGATCTGGGTCTTCGAGAAGATTTTATGAATTTTACACCAAAGACAATAGAAATAAAGGTAAAAATAAATGAATGGGACTATATTAAACTTATTAAACTTATTAGAAACTTATTAAAAAGCTTCTGAACAGCAAAAGAAACCACCAAAAAACAAAAAGGCAATGAACCAAATGGTAGAAGATATTTTACAAACAGCAGTTCCAAGAAGGGGTTCCAAAATATGCAAAGAACTCATACGATTCAATACCAAACAAACAGTCCAATAAGAAATGGACAGAGGACATGAACAGAGACTTCTTCCAAGAAGACATACAAATGGCCAACAGGTATATGAAAAGATACTCAACTCACTATTAGGGAAATGCAAATTAAAACTACAATAAGATATCACCTCACACCTGTTAAAATGGCTATTATTACCAAGACAAGTAATAACAAGCATTGGAGAGGTTGTGGAGAAAAAGGAAACCTCATTCACTGCTGGTGGGAATTTAAACTGGTACAACCACTATGGAAGACAGTATGGTGGTTCCTCAAAAAATTAAGAATAGACCCTAGTGCGGTGGCTCAGTTGGTTGGAGCATCGTCTCGTGCACCAAAAGGTTGTGGATTTGATTCCTGGTCAGGGCACATACGTAGGTTGTGGGCTCGATCCCTCACTAGGGCACATATGGGAAGCAACTGATCAATGTTCCTCTCTCACATCAATGTTTCTCTCCCTTTCTCTCCCTTCTTCTCTCTCTAAAATCAATAAACATATCCTCAGGCAAGAATTTTTAAAAAATTAACAATAGAGTTACCATATGACCCAGCAATCCCTCTCCTGGGCATCTATCCCCAAAATTGGAAAACATTTATTCACAAAGACGTAAGTACTCTATGTTCAATGCTGCCATTATTCCCAGTGTCCAAGATATGGAAACAACCAAAGTGTCCTTCAATAGAGAATTGGATAAAGAAGACGTGGTACAGATGTCCTATGGACTACTACTCAGCCTTAAGAAAAAAATGAAATACTGCCATTTGCAACATGCATAGACCTTGAGAATATTATGCTAAGTGAAATAAGTCAGTCAGAAAAAGCTAAGAACCATGTGACTTCACTCATATGTGGGATATAAAACTGGAAGTCATAGACACAGACAGCAGTGTGGTAGTCACCAGAGGGAAGAGGGTTGGGGGTGTAGTAAAGGGTGAAGGGGGCCAAATATATGGTGACGGAAGATGATGTGGCTGTGGGTGGTGGGTGCACAAGGCAGCATAGAGATCATGTATCATAGACATGGACACTCGAAACCTATATGATCTTATTAACCAATGTCATCCCAATACATTCAGTTAAAATAAAAACTGTGCAAATGAACAGAAAGGAATGGTACATTTCCAAATGTTATCTAGTGTGTTTCCACGCATAAAATACTGAAAACCACTGCCACCTAATTTTAATTTCAACATTTGAAATTCAAATTACAAAAAAGTAAATACAATTTTGCTCTTTCTAAAAAATTACCTCAATGATTGTTGGCTTCCCCACATTGTCAGCTGTTGGAGACCCATATAGGACTCCATCACTATACGGTGTCCTTTGGATATATCGAAGCCATCCAGGTCGGTCTGGATAACCCATTAAATTTGTGTTAAATGTTATGGGATCATTACTAATCTCACCTAGATAAGAAACACAGCATTAACATATGTCAGATATTTTCACACATGTTACTTTGGTAGTTTCAATCAAAATTTTTCTGTATAAAATTTTTTTCTTACCTTTGCAGCAAACACACACACACACACACACACACACACACACACACACACCCTCCCCCCCCTCCCCGATCTGGGAATTGAGATTTGGGCCTCATATAAAGAAAAAGTCCTTTTAGTTGCTTAGTTTGTCTAAAATCTAATGTAACAAAGAAAGCAGATTCATATAACTTCAGGAGAAATTTTCTTTTCTTTTTTTTCTGTCCCCTAGGAATTGGAAAGCTCTGGCAATGAAACAACTGTCTTTTAGAAAAATCTAATCATGTTGATGTGTTCATTTTCTTGAGAAGCTTTCCTTTCATGAAACTCCGGACATCATCAAACTAATCTTAAGGAACATCTTGAAATTATAAGAGTATTATGATAAGGAAACAACGGAGGGTGAGTTGAGAAAGATGTTACAAATCCAAAAGAACTATAAAAATGACATTTATTAATGATAAACAATAATAATACCATCATTTATTAGCACATGCCAGGCTCTGTTATTGTGTCTGGACTCTACAAGCACTATTTCATCTGATTATTAAATATACCTAAAAAAGTAGTACTATAATTAGCCCTAATTTTATTGATGGAATATGTAATTTTCCATGTTAAGTAACATCTTTATGGTCGTAATAAGTGGTAAAACTAGAATTTAATCTTGGCTGACTCCAGAAAGTATACTCTTAACTCCGTGTTTTCTTCTCATTTATTAGAGCTGCTCAAAAGATTTAGCTAAATAGCTTTGCAAACATAGAATGTCACATAAGAAAACATTTTTAAAATAATTGATGGAAAGACTGACTTTCATTCTAGAATGCTGTTGAGAACATATATTTTATATATTTCATGAGTGTGTTCAGGTATGCTTTTCATCATATAACAAATGAAATGATATTTATATTAATTCTAATGCCATAATTGTCAGAAAACTCATTTTTATTTGTTATTTAAGGAAGGACTATAATAATTTGATATATTTTCTCTTGCTAGTCTATCTCTTCATTAATTTCATAGCATTTGTGACAATCCAACATAACATAATTTAAACCAATAGTAAATTATGTAAGACTTTGTAATTGGTATTCCTTTAAGGAAAAAAATTAATCTTCATTATATTGTTAGGAAGTTATATCAAAGTATTTCCTATTATAAAAAGCTTTCTTGAGAACTTATTCTAAATAGCATATTTCATTTTCTACAACATGTGTGTAGTTTTCTAAAAATCAATGTACCACGTAAGATTGAAAGTTTTAATATGAAAAGTCATAATTGTACTACTATAATTAGTTCTATGCAAATGTAGGTAGAAGCACAAAACTAAGACTGGGAAACCAAATCTATGCTTTCTTTAAAATTCAAAAATGAATTATTTACTTCTGTAATTAAATTTCTAATCTTAAAATGGGAAATATCCTACCACGACCAATTTATCACGCACCCAGACCATTTCAAATAATGTTAGCAATAGTTTATCGTATAACATCTAGATTATGCACACTGAACAAAAAGAAAAAATTACTCAATTGACCACTCTGCTTTCCGCACTCAGGACATACCAGGTTTGGGGTAAGGTGGAAATTCTCCCTTAAAAGATTCTCTTTCCAAAACATGAACAAAGAGGACTCCAGCAGATGGGTACACATCCCGATCAGAGTGCACCTGTGAGAAGATGGTGTACACTGAAAACGAAGAGGAAAGACCAAAGACAAATGACGAGATCTGCTTTTGATAATTTGCTTACACCGTAATGAGGGCTTTTACTATGTAGAAATTTCTGGGAAAACTGAGGCAACATGCAAGACATTGTTAAGAAGTTTGTTTAAATGGAAGTGATTTTAGGACAAAGCATCAGGCTAACTCTTTAAACTTGGCATGTTTAGACACTTTTTAAATACTATGTGAGCAAAATTATGCACATTTTAATATTTTAAACTGTTATTAAGTAATGAAGACATTAATATTTTTAGTAATCTTTTTATTGAAATTATTGCCAACAAAATATATCATAAAAATCGACCAACTACATAATTTTTACAGCTTTTTTTCAAAGCAAAGTATAAATAGTAATTTTTAAATGGTCAGAGTCTACACTGTACTAAGTGTTCACTAGACAAAGCACATCACAATATATAATATATTCAATATATGTAAAGCAACTTTCATATATATTTATAAAAATGCAATGATACTTTTTTCTATGAGTGCTGTTTCTCATAACTCTCCAAGAAATGATTTATTCCATTTTACCTGGCCTTGACATTTAATAATTCACGCAATATAATCCTACATCCTAAAGCAGTAACAATTACATGATAAAATTCAGTGCCAATAATTGCTTTAAGTGAAATAGGACAGATTTCATGATTTACTGGTCACTTAAGATATATGACGGGAGTACACTGAAATGGCCAAACTGGTTTGATTAGTTTTCCACCTATTGTTTCCTCTGATATCAGCATCTCCGCCAACATATTACTGCCATTACCCTTGTCGCCTCTACAACCTCTTTTGGTTTTCTATCTTCCTGACTGGCTAGTGGCTGCAATTTTTAAACAGATAAACCCTATCAGGCCAGTGATTTCTCTTAATCACTGATGGATTTGTAAATGTAGTAATTAACCTTAAGGACCCCAACACTACTCACTTCAGGCTCACAACTACCTAAAAGCCCTGGATAACAAGGTCACTGACAGTAAATGTTTCAGCATAAAAATAGGAACTTCCACAAAATGTTTCTTTATCTGTGAAAACTCGTCCCTGCAAGTTCTGTGGATGGCTGCCAAAAGTTCTGTGGATGGTAAAGCTAAACTAAAATATTTGGCTTGTATCTTCACGTATACATAGCTTTACTACTAAACTCATAACTTCAAAGGCTACGTAACAGAAGGAAGCTGCAAGTTAGGTTTAACCTAGGTATGTAGGGAGACTCGTTCTTCCCTGACTTGGTTGAAGTATTCGTAAGTAGTCTTCCTGTGGTACTGGGAGTACCCAACGTCTACACAAGAACAATTCGCTCACCAGGGGAAATGGTCCCATTCCAAAAACTAGGTGTACAAATCACAGAGAAACTAGGAGGATGAGAATTTGAGATTTTTCACCAGTTGAATTTCATAAACCCCTGGAAGACAAGGTACTGTGGAGAGTGCAGAGATGGGAAGACCCAGACCCAGCCTTCCACGAGTTCCCCACCTGGTTAGGGAGACTAACGCCCACCTAGCTCGGTATGATCCCGCAGGAATAAACTGCTCTGACAATACCTGGGAAGATGGTGAGGAGCAATGGAGGCTAGAAAGAGCTGGAAAAGATTTACATAAAAAGTAGAAGTCAAGCTCAGTTACTGGGTCAACATCCCACAAAGGAAAGTTCGCTGGGTCAATTCCTGGTCAGGGCACATGCCTGGGTTTCGAGTTTGGTTCCTGGTCGGCGTGCATACAAGAGGCAACAGATCGATGTCTCTCCCTCACATCGATGTTTCTCTTCCTCTCTTTCTCCCTTCCTTTCCCTCTCTCTAAAAAGAAAGAATTTTTTTTTTTTTTTTTTTTTTTTTAGAAAGTAGACCTCAATATGGTTTGTAGAGTACTAGGATGGTCCTGAAACTCAGAGATGGGGAATTTGGGGATTTCCGCAGTGAATGTGTGAGCATGATACAACTGTGGGGCACTGCAGGATTCTTTCAAGGCAGCGGATGAAACCGGGGATGAACTCAGGGATGAACCCAGGTCTTGGGGGTGCAGTTAAGGTAGGCAGGAAAACTGGGAAGCATAGTCAAATTATGGAGAGTTGTGAACTCCTGCTGAGCTCGTATTTCATTCTAGATGTAAAAAAGAATTTACAGCTATATCACAATCCTACATCCGCAGCACAGGAATGTTTTGAGTAATCTAAGATATCTCTTTGGAGTTTATCTAATTTATCCCTTGTAGAGATAAAAAGCAACTTGAAGTTCAGCATTGAATTTTACTTACCTTCATTATTTTCTCAGCACCTAAAAGGCATTTGGCATATTTGAATGACTTTACCAATCCCTAGTGACTGGATGAATTCATTCCAATACAAAGCGCTGTAGAGGTAAACACAGGTCTCACGTTTATGGACTAAATATGTACAATACTCAATTTAAATTTCAATTTTGTAATGAATCCTCATATGCGTGTAAGCAGTTTCTCTGTCACCCTCTTCCATTGATGTTACTAATTACTAACACTCTCCCTTCGTTTTGGCTGCCATAAGGGGCCAAGAGCCAGCTTATAAGCAAAAAGAAAGGTTGTTCTTACTAAATAACATTGAAGCCCTGGCTGAGAAGCTCAGTTGGTTAGAGCATCGTCCCGATATGCCAAGGTTGAGCGTCTGATCCTCAGTCAGGGCACAAACAAGAATCAACAAAGGAAAGCATAAATAAATGAAACAACAAGATCAATGCTTCTCTCTCTAAGAATACATTAAATAAATACATACATACCTACCTAAATAAATACTGAAATGATTCTATTTTCTATATAGCCCTTGGCAGGTCCTCAAGTGAAACCATGAAAAGGTACCTACTACTGCCTAACGCCTCATTTCAAATACTGGTAAAGGACATCTATCTCAGGTTCTGCTTTCATGAAAAACATTGCTGCAATCTACAGAGCCAAACCACAGTCCACTATGGCCCTCCTAGGTTTTAAGATGACATGTGCATTTCTTTATTCATGTGTACTCTATTCCCCTTTTGCAATCTGCTGAACTGCTTGCCGGTCAGTTACCCTGGCAACTCCACAGTAAAGCTCGCTTCGCTTTAAGTATATAGCATGCCATTTACTTGGAGAAAAACATGATACAGATGCATGACACATTCATCTTTCAGAAATGGAAAATGACTAAGCCACTGTGTTTTGTTTGTGAAAGTAATACTTCCTTTCTGTAGCACCATTTTAAATTATGAGCACCCACACCTTTCCCTTAAGGTACCCTTTCCAGTTTGTTAACTTGTAAAACAAATAGCTCTTCAACAGCAGCTATTTGGGCAGTAGTTACACCTCACTTCCTTTTGAAAACAACAAGTGACACAGAGAATTCAAAGGTAGAGGCTCTTCTTCTAAACATGAGCTATATAAATAATGCTGACAGGACCTAAACCGGGACCCATAAAGGCTGTTATTAACACATTGCACTCTCCTATGTCTAGGTACTACTCACAAAAGCTTGAAGCATATTGTTTTCCTTAAAAGCAAGTCTTGAAAATCAAATTTAAACACTCTAAGAATCCTCAGTGCTAAAATCTAACAGTCTCTGAAATATACATGTGCACAGTGCCAGGCCAATCAAGCTGAGGCCACAGGGTCTGTAGTCTGTGTGTCACAGGGTTTTGCAACAGTCTCCAGCTGCAAATCCATTACCTCTGCAAACACATGCCACTGGATACAAATGAAACTAGAAACCACTGTGTGGCTAAATCTGTGCAAATCCATCACCATTAATGGGAAAAACAAACCAAAAGTTCAACTCACAGGGGCACAAAAACATCATCTCAAACAGGCAAGGGTAGCTAGATTTGCCAAGATTATAAACTGAAGCTACAGTAAAAAAATAACAGGTTTTTTTTTTTTAAGGAAAAAATTACATATCTGAGTTGAGAAGAGCAAAAGGGTATTCAGGCATGGCCAGGGTAATTATTTCACCCTCTCTAAATGTAGTTCCAATGTCCGTTGTTACCATCCTAGCAAAATCTCTTCACAAAACCACGTCATATTCATCTTGACGTACAAAAACTGTGGACTGTGTCAATAATATATATTATGTTACAGCAGAGAGCTAAGAACCAAGAAACAGCCACGGTGGCAATAACAATAAAGTAAGACCTCATCCTTGTTAAATAGCATCCTGTTTTCTTTTATTAGTCCATTAAACATTTTCTCCCTACGGGAACAACATTGTAATGAAAATATGAGTTCCTGCCTATTTACAATTACTTAAAAACAAAAGCAAATTTGGAGGTATTTAGTAAACAATAAATTTTGAAAGGATTGTGGTTGTTCATTGCTAATGAATCTATAGCACATAACAATTATTACAATGATTATTTTAAAGGCAGACAGGCACATACAGTCTCTTCTCTAAAAATAAGTCCAGAGAACACTTACCTTTTTCTGTATCACCAAGAACAAGTACATGGCTGTAAACATAAACTAGCTGCTGAGTGTAAGAGTAAATTTAAATCTTACAGCTGTCCCTCTTTTGAAACCTTTGAGGAGTCACAATGTTCATATTCATGTCCACATGACCTTTATTAGGTACCTATTATGTAGATATCTCTCTCATAGATACATTATCAACAAATTAATCACTTCAAAGGGTCCATTTATATCAATTACTAATTTTTGTGGTTTAAGAAGATATTGTGAAATTTTAGTTACCAGGAACCCTAGGAAAGAAACATGTCAGAGGGCCGAGTTTTCCAAAGTACTCAGCGGTCGATCCTTTTTCGTGATGGTAGAAGATCATTATTTGGCACGTCAATGATCGCACTCTGCTCTGTCACACAGTGACGCCTGGACTGACTGTGGTTGCTTTGTCATTTACTGATCACACTAGCCCTGGCAGGTCCTAGTTAGCTAATGCTTTTTAAGGCTGTGTGTTTTATAGATTTTCTCTTTTCTTGAGTCTGAGGGCAAGTTGTCAGCTGTCATTTCTGATTGTC